ATATATATATATATATATATATATATATATATATATATATATATATATATATATATATATATATATATATATATATATATATATATATATATATATATATATATATATACACACATACACACATACATATATACACATACATACATACACACACACACACACACACATTATATATATACACACATACACACACACACACACACACACACACACACACACACACACACACACATATATATATATATATATATATATATATATATATATATATATATATATATATATATATATATATATATATATATATATATATATATATATATATATATATATATATATATATATATATATACACACACATACACACATACATACATACATATATACACATACATACATACACACACACACACACACACATTATATATATACACACATACACACACACACACACACACACACACACACACACACATACACACATATATATATACATACACACACACATATACATATATATACATACATACATATACAGTTGTGTTCAAAATAATAGCAGTCAGACATCACTAACCGGATCAATCACTGTTTTTGGTAGAAATGATATTTCTACATGGCAAATAATTTAATATCAGGTGTAGTAGAGTAATAGAAATCCAACAGACCCAACAGTCATGACATGCATGCTGCTGATTCTGTGTCATTGAATCACTCATTGAAAGGGGCATGTTCAAAATAATAGCAGTGTGGAGTTCTATTAGTGAGCTCATTCATTCTTTGAAAAACAGGTGGCAATTATTGCCCTTATTTAAGGAAGGAAGGCAGCAAATGTTGTACATGCTGGTTACAGTGCATTTCTCTCTGAAATTCTGAGGAAAATGGGTCGTTCCAGACATTGTTCAGAAGAGCAGCGTACCTTGATTAAAAAGTTGATTGGAGAGGGGAAAACATATGAAGAAGTGCAGAAAATGAGAGGCTGCTCAGCTAAAATGATCGCAAATGCTTTAAAATGGCAACCAAAACCTGAAAGGCGTGGAAGAAAGCGGAAAAACTACCATTCGAATGGATAGAAGAATAGCCAAAATGGCGTGGACTCAGCCAACAATCAGCTCCAGGAAGATGAAAGAAGGTGTAAAGTTCCCTGTGAGGACTGTTACAATTAGAAGACACCTATGTGAAGCCAAGCTATCTGCAAGAAGCCCCCGCAAAGTCCCACTGTTGGAAAAAAGACATGTGCTGAAGAGGTTACAATTTGCCAAAGAGCACATTGACTGGTCTAAAGAGAAATGGGACAACAATTTGTGGACTGATGAAAGTAAGATTGTTCTTTTTGGGTCTAGTGGCCGGAGACATTTTGTCAGACGACCCCCAAACACTGAATTCAAGCCACAGTACACTGTGAAGACAGTGAAGCATGGTGGTGCAAGCATCATGATATGGGGATTGTAGAAATTAATTCACCATAAAACAGACGTCTGTAACTTTTTATATCTGTCAAAATGACAGCAAAGTCATTGAGAAGTAATTTTAACTTTGCGTGTGAATGAAGCTTTGAAAAAACAGGTGTTAAAGATGAACCATGGTATATTCATGTCTAAGAGGTCAGCAGGTCATAAGCTTAGTTTTAAGAATAGCAATTGGAATGTAAAAAGATATTGATATGTAGTAGAACAAAGAAAGGATATATCTTTTATAAAGAAAATCATGTCTAATCCATAATATAGTTAGTTGGATAATTATTTCATATAATCAATTTATTAGTTAGGAATAGTGTGTGATAAGTTTAGTATCAATTATTGTTGGTTATATGCATTTATGTGATCATTGTCCTTTCTAAAGATATGTGAAGCCATTATATCAGATGACAGTATCATATATTTCTGTCTTCTAAGAGGTTTTCAAATAACGTCATACTAAGTATACGTTTAGAAGGCTTACATATATGGACACTAAGAGTATAAGTTTAGAAGAAGCACAAATAAGGGTTTTACTTATTTAGCTCACACTGGATTAGGAAATAACTGTTTAGTGGGTTGGTCTGGTAAAACATATATAAGATGTGCCTTAGAGATAGAGAGACACATACACTCACTCACACTCATACATCAAGACATTATACAGCTGACACGCACTGACATATTTGTCTCCTGGTAAGGCCTGCAAAGCCTTGATACACCTGTTGTCTTCCTTGCCAAGACTGAAACACTTGTCATAGAACAGGCAAGAGATTAGACATTTCTCCAAAGCTTATTTCTTTTTCCATAATCTACAACTTTTGTTATATTTTACTCTGTATTTTATTTTATCTTTTGTATTCATTTTTGATGCCAAGTGTGCATTAAATAAAAGTCACACTGTTTTAAGTCAGCCTGGCACTAGAACAATCTGCCTCAAACGCCTAAAGACAGACACTTAAATAATATAAGTGTCACGATATTTAACAGGGATGTTTCTCATACTACGGTGTTGGGCCTATTTATCGCATACCAGGGATCATGGATCAGTTTGAATCCATCAGAATACTTGAAGAGGTCATGCTGCCTTATGCGGAAGAGGAAATGCCCTTGAAATGGGTGTTCCAACAAGACAACGACCCCAAACACACCAGTAAACGTGCAACATCTTGGTTCCAGACCAACAAGATGGACGTTATGGAGTGGCCAGCCCAATCCCCGGATCTTCATCCAATAGAAAACTTGTGGGGTGACATCAAAAATGCAGTTTCTGAGGCAAAACCAAGAAATAGAGAAGAACTGTGGAATGTGGTCCAATCATCCTGGGCTGGAATACCTGATCACAGGGGCCAGAAGTTGGGTGACTCCATGCAACACAGATGTACAGCAGTTCTCAGAAACAGTGCGACTACAACCAAATATTCATGAAGTCATTCAAAGGAAAGCAAAATCTTCAAACATTTTTCAGTTTATATAGTGAATGTTTGAGTTTGTAAAGAATACAAAACACTGCTATTTTTTTGAACCGTCTAATATTCACTTTTCTTCAATTTTTTTTAGAGGAACAACACAAATTTGATCTATTTTTCTTCATGTTTTGATTTGGAATAGAATGTGTAGTGTTCCCAATGCATGTGTGTATGGAAATAAAAGCTATTAGAAGGATTTTGAGCTTTATTCACTTTTTTTCAACACACTGCTATTAGTGTGTGTGTGTGTGTGTGTGTTTTATTTCAGGTACTTATATAGCGCCGTCAATTTGCGCAGCGCTGTAACATATATATTGTACATTCACATCAGCTCCTAACCCTCAAGGGGTGTACAATCTAAGGCCCCCTAACTCACATACATACTAGGGCCAATTTAGACAGGATCCAATTCACCTACCAGCATGTCTTTGGAGTGTGGGAGGAAACTGGAGTGCACGCAGGCACAGGGAGAACATGCAAACTCCAGGCAGGTGGTGCTGTGGCTGGGATTCGAAACAGTGACCCTAGTACTGCCAGGAGGAAGTGCTATCCATTTAGCCACTGTGCTGCGCATATATATATATATATATATATATATATATATGCCCCTCCTCCTCAAAAAACTACACTCCCTCGGCCTCAGAGATTCTGCTCTCTCCTGGCTCTCATCCTACCTGTCACAACGCTCCTTCAGCGTTACCTATAATGCTACCACCTCCCCCTCACTCCCCCTCTCTGTTGGGGTCCCTCAAGGCTCTGTCCTCGGGCCCCTTCTCTTCTCCATCTATACCTCCTCCCTTGGCCAACTCATACACTCTCACGGCTTCAACTACCACCTCTATGCCGACGACACACAAATCTATCTCTCAACCCCCCACCTCACCCCCTTGGTCTCAGCCCGAATCACACACCTACTGAGCGACATATCAGACTGGATGTCGCTCCACTTCCTTAAATTGAACCTCTCCAAAACCGAGTTTCTTGTCTTCCCCCCAGCCCGGACACCACCCCCCATTGACTTCTCCGTCACATCCAACAACGCCACCATCAAACCCGCCCAGCAGGCCAGAGTACTGGGTGTCATTCTGGACTCCAACCTATCCTTCCAGCCCCAAGTCCAATCTTTAACAAACTCGTGCAGACTCCACCTCCGCAACATCGCCAAAATCCGCACGTTCCTAACCCCAGAAACCACTAAACAGCTCATCCACTCCCTCATCATATCACGACTCGACTACTGCAACTCCCTCCTCACTGGCCTGCCTCGCCGCTGGCTATCCCCTCTTCAGTCCATCCTGAACACGGCTGCCAGACTCATTCACCTTTCCAACCGCTCTGTCTCCGCCACCCCCCTCTGCCAATCCCTCCACTGGCTTCCGATTGCGCAACGGATCAAATTCAAAATCCTAACGCTGACGTACAAAGCTGTCCACCATACTGCCCCGTACTACATCTCTGACCTAATATCCAAGTACCGCCCAGCACGCACACTCCGCTCCTCACAAGACCTCCTTCTCTCTAGTTCCCTGGTCTCCTCCTCCCATGCCCGCCTCCAGGACTTCTCCAGGGTGTCACCCATCCTCTGGAACTCCCTGCCCCAACCCATCAGATTATCACCTACTCTCCTCTCCTTTAGGCGCACCCTGAAAACCCATCTCTTCAGGGAAGCCTACCCCACCCCCTGCTAACTTGCCGACCTCCTTCACTCTTCCTACCACTCCATCCCCCACAGCTATCTCCTCCTGTGCCACCACCCCCTCCCTCCTAGATTGTAAGCTCGAAAGAGCAGGGCCCTCGATCCCCTCATGTTTTGCATTGTATTGGTATTGTTCTGTCACATGTTCTGTCTCCCTTTGTAATGTACAGCGCTGAGCGAACTATTGGCGCTTTATAAATACTGTATAATAATAATAATAATAATAAATATATATATAAAACACACACTGTACACATACATACACACCCTCTGTAAAGCCAAATTCACACTTAGAGGCAGCACAATGAGTCAATTTGGCTCTGCAGCATGCACATGTACAGTCAATAGGTAGCCTTTTCAATGTACTGTACACATTCGTTCTCACCATAGCACCGGGACGGCTTTACTGTCCAAGATAGTCTGCGCTGTGCTCCAGCTGAATCGCACAAACTGAGGGTATCCAAAGACAGGGTCAAGATGCCGAGCGAGCCATTCTTTGGTCTTTGGGTCTGTTAGAATACATATGTACAAAACATGAGCTGGAAAATCTCTGCCATCAAAGAGCAATCTTTCTTTTTCCTATCCAAGAACAAAAGTTTTATTAGAATACATCTTACTAGTCTTTTCTGGCGGTTTTGTACAATAGTATTAGTGATCCTGCTACGAACACACTTCCTGTCCTACTGTGGGACACTTGCCATATTGTATCTATGAAGGAGCAGCGTTGTCACCCTAAGGCAGGACTACAAAACGGATCTGCTTTCTCTTTCACCTTTACCATAAGGTGGTGGTGTTCTGTAGTTCCCAAATGTGTCCCTCTGCCTTGAAAAAAGGCATCCTACGAGGTTCCAAAATATCAGCCTGAGATGCCTGCTGCTTTATGTGAATATAAAAGGACAAGATGATCACTATACCAAGGTGTGTTAGTGAAGATGATTATTTTTCTGTCATCACTCTGGCTTCAGTTATACCATGCTTGTTCCAGGCTAGTGACTCAAACTATTGATGCCAGAGAACTAATATTTTCAGGATAGGTCAGCAATAATAGCATCCATATTTTGCTCAATAGAGGTTTCATTTAAAGTGAAAGAAAACCCTAACTATTCTTAAAAATGTCCCCCTCCCCCCTTCTCCTACCTATCCTGTATAAAAATAATCTGTAAACTTACCTAGTTTTAATCCGCTCCGGTGCAGTCACATGATCCTGCAGCTGTGGCTCAGGGAGCACTCAAAAGGTTGGGAATTCCAGGCATTGTCTGTGCTCCTTCCTCTCCCCTGCAGCAGCAGATGCTGAAACAGGGGAGTCAGAACTGTGGGATCACCTGACCAGACTGCAGCGGACTAAAGATAGGTATGTGGGTCCTCAATCCCCTCATGTTTTGCATTGTATTGGTATTGTTCTGTCACATGTTCTGTCCCCCTTTGTAATGTACAGCGCTGAGAGAACTATTGGCGCTTTATAAATACTGTATAATAATAATAATGTGCACACATATTTTTTTATACAGGTAAGGCAAGATAGGTAGAAGAAAGGGGAAGGGAACATTTTTAAAGCAGTAGTAAACTTTGAACCTACGAAAAAAAAAAAACCCACAATGCTTTCTTGCTGCAAGGTAAGGCATAATGGGCTAGTATGCATCTCATACTAGCACATTATGAAAGACTTACCTTAAAGCAGAGCTCCACCCAAAAGGGGACATTCCGCTTTAAAAGGACTGCTCCCCATTTAGGATTGACACCTTTGGGGGGCGGGGGTACCCGAATTTGACAGGTACCCGCTCCCACTTCCGGTCAGATCGCCTAGGCGATCAGAAGCGGAAGGTGTCCTCCCTCCCTGTAGTCTTTTGGGACATGTGACAGGTCCCAGAAGACTACAGGACCATTCATGAAGCGCAGTGCTACTCGCACATGCGCAGTGGGTATCTGGCTGTGAAGTCGCAAGCAGCACAGCCGGGTGCCCACACTGAAGATGCCGGCCTCCTGGAATACAGGACGGCCGGTGAAACGGGCTGCGGGGGACTCACCACGGGACAGGCAAGTGGCTGTTTTTTAAAAGTCAGCAGTTACAGTTTTTGTAGCTGTTGACTCTTATTTTTTGACAGCGTGGGTGGAACTCCGCTTTAAAACAAAGCCCCGCAGCAGCACATTATCACCACTGCAGTCTTCCTCCTGGGTTTGTGGGCTGTGGCTGCTTGAGTGGCTGAGCCGCGATGACGTCACTCCCGTGCATATGCGTGGGAGTCACAGCCACAGCACAGAGCTCTGAAGGAGCACATGCGCCGGTGAAGTCACCGGCTGCCAAACAAGAGAATATCTCCTATATGATGCAAGTGTAGGGAGATATGCACTTAACCTACAGGTAAGCTTTATTATAAGTTTACCTGTAGGTAAAAATCAAAATGAGATGTTTACTGCCACTTTAAGAATAGATACTGTTAAGCTGGCCATAGAGGAGTCTGTTTTTCTTTTTTCTTCATTCAACCAGAAGGTTGAACGAAAAAAAAAAAAAAATTACATTTAACAGGGAAATTCTCCCTGCTGAGCTATTGTATTCTGACAATGGAGTGTCTTCCCTGCCTGATCAGAATACACTGATCAGTGCTGCTGGCTATAGCTGGCATCGAGCAGGGTAAATCCGACAAGATCTGTACAGCCACCCTGCCAATATATGGGCCGATCTTCATCCGGTCCCTGCTGAACCAGCCAATTTAGATCCATGCAAGGTTGGTTTTAGGCTTTAAGGATAATTTATTCAATAAAAAGTAAGGTTCCCCATTGTGTAACAAATGCTGCACCCCTGTCACTTCTACTGACACAATAAGTCAATGTTATCATACAATGTACTGGGGAGGGAAGACGAAGGAAACTGATGTAACAAACAGCCCAAGGTTATTGTCAGCATGTGTCTGTCTAAGAAGCATAAACACAGAATGGATGAAAAGGATACATTTGCAGCATCAGCACATTTTTCTGGTGGATAAACAAAATATTTATTCATTATATATGGAGATTACCATTCTGCCATGTGACAGAAGAATAATATGAATCCGCTCTGCTATTGGGTAGTCCTGTGTATACATGTGGGTGTATGTGTCTGCTGCAGTCAAGGATAGGAATGGGGGGTGCCTAATATTTTACCAGAAAAGTTCCCCAGACTAGGAGAATGGTGTTGTACAACAAGACAGACCTGTCCCATGAAATAAGCTGGCCATACATGGATCAAAATTCGTCCAGTTTTGCAGGAACAACTCGAATTTTGATCCATGAATGTACACAGTGGTTGTACAGAAGTCGATCAACCATTCAACTTCTATAGCAACCACCCTGTTGGATTTTCCCTGCTAGAGCCAGCAGCGCTGATCAGTGTATTCTAAATGGCAAAGTCCCACTGCTGTTGGAATACAATAGCTCAGCAGAGAAGACTCCCCCATCCACCTCAAATGTGTGGCTGGGGGAATTTTTTTTCATTCAAAAAGAAAATGACTAATGTATGGACTGCCTTAACTAACCATTGGGATAGCCAGAGCCGTACTCAGCATCAACTTCTCCTAGATCCTCGATGAACTTCCAGCCCTTAACCACACGGTCCCTGGCCACCTGCAGAGAAAACACAGGTCACTAAACTGCACAGACTACAGACTCACTGAGTGATGTGTATGAAAATTTCAAAATCCAACTATAATTGGAAGTGTTACTAAACCCCGGACCCTGCACTCACTATATCTGGTCTCCCCGGACCCTGCATTCACTATATCTGGTCTCCCCGGACCCTGCAGTCACTATATCCGGTCTCCCCGGACCCTGCAGTCACTATATCCGGTCTCCCCGGACCCTGCAGTCACTATATCCGGTCTCCCCGGACCCTGCAGTCACTATATCCGGTCTCCCCGGACCCTGCAGTCACTATATCCGGTCTCCCCGGACCCTGCAGTCACTATATCCGGTCTCCCCAGGACCCTGCAGTCACTATATCCGGTCTCCCCAGGACCCTGCAGTCACTATATCCGGTCTCCCCAGGACCCTGCAGTCACTATATCCGGTCTCCCCAGGACCCTGCATTCACTATATCCGGTCTCCCAGGACCCTGCATTCACTATATCTGGTCTCCCAGGACCCTGCATTCACTATATCTGCTCTCCCCAGACCCTGCATTCACTATATCTGGTCTCCCTGGACCCTTGCATTCACTATATCTGGACTCCCCAGGACCCTGCATTCACTATATCTGGTCTCCCCAGACCCTGCATTCACTATACCTAGTCTCCCCAGGACCCTGCATTCACTATATCCGGTCTCCTAGGACCCTGCATTCACTATATCTGGTCTCCCCAGACCCTGCATTCACTATACCTAGTCTCCCCAGGACCCTGCATTCACTATATCCGGTCTCCTAGGACCCTGCATTCACTATACCTAGTCTCCCCAGGACCCTGCATTCACTATATCCGGTCTCCTAGGACCCTGCATTCACTATATCCGGTCTCCTAGGACCCTGCATTCCCTCTATCTGGTCTCCCACAGTACACGGAAATGCAATTATTTTAGTAAATATAAACTGCTAAATACCTTTTCTCATCAGCAGTATATAGCAATCTTGTGAGTTCTATCAGTGTCCAGCACAGCACATGTCAAAGCTTGTGGGAGGAGTTTACATTCTGCTCTAGGAGGATGCAGAACCTCTGACCTCTGTCTGGACAATGCCGATTGGCCCTGTGCTGATCACATGCACTCTCCCAAGAGAGCATGTGCAGAGTGACTCCACAGGATATGTCTTATCAGGAGATAGGAAGGTGACACTGGAAGAAGGGGCGGATCAGAGAAGACCGGATCAAACAGCCGTTTTATACAATGCAGAGGATTAACCCCTTAGGTTCCACAGTGAGTATAACAAGCATTCTGTTGTGGGTTTAGAAACACTTTAATATATTGCAGCTTACTAGTTGCATGAATTTTTGCTTGACAGGGTTTTCTTCCCCCTTTTATTTTCACCTGGTGACCTAGCACACAACTTTCCTTCCCTTGGGTAGCTACACTCTGTCCTCCACTGTATCTACTGAGGGAGCAATGTTTACCACCCAGGCTGGATTTCAAAAATGTCTACTTTGTTCATTTTGTTAATTTCCATTAGAAATGGAAGTGACGAGCACATGGAATTTCTGACAGGACCAACAGGAATTTTCTGTGCTTGATAAAAACGTTCCTTGCCTAAAAAAAAAAAAAAAAAAAAAAAAAAAAACTATTGCAGTCACCATATCTAATGTTGAGTTGGCTGCAATATATTATATTGTTGTTCCTGGTTGTAGATACCCTTCTCCTACCTATCCTGTAACAAAAAACAAAGTGTCAGTTAACTATATTTAGTCTTTCCACCCTGGAACAAAATGTTTCAGTATCAGATCTGCAAAATGCCAATTTTTACAGATGGAACAAACAACATTACATTGTCTCCCCCTGCTGTTCACCAGAGTAATTAGACCAAGCATACATGGACAGATTTCTAACACATCCCAATATGATCAAGTAGCGTAAAAAAAAAAAAAAAAAAAAAAAAAAAAGCAATTGTCCACTTGTCTACCAGGCACTTTCACCCCCTTCCTGCCCAGGCCAATTTTCAGCTTTCGGCACGGTCGCACTTTGATGACAATTGCGCGGTCATGCAACACTGTACCCATATGAAATTTTTTAGCATTTGTTTGAGACAGATAGAGCTTTCTTTTGGTGGTATTTAATGGGTTTTTTACTTTTTGAGAAACAAAACCAAACACAACTGAAAATTGTTTTTTAAAAAAAGTTTTTTCCTTAGTTCCGGTTATAAAATTTTGTAAATGAGTAATTTTTCTCCTTCACTGATGTGCGCTAATGAGGCTGCAGTGATGGGCACTGATAGGCTGCAGTGATGGGCACTGATCAGGAGGCACTGATGGGCATTCACAGACATCACTGATGGGCACTAAAAAGGCAGTATGCATATATGATAGGCAGCACTGATAGGCAGCATTAACAGGCACTGTTAGGTGGCACTGAGGCGGCACTAACTGGCACCGATAGGCAGCTCAGATGGACACTGATATGCGGCATTGATGTGCACTGATAGGCACTGATATGTGGCATTGATGGACACGGACAGGTGGCACTGATGAGGCTACACTAATCATCAGGGCACGGATCATCAGTGTAGATGTCTCCTCTGAGGAATGTCGAATACTGGCTCTCCTCTCCTCATGAGTTGTCAGCGTGACAGCTCTTGAGGAGAGAAATGCCAATAACCGGCATTTCCTTATTTACATGTGATGAGCTGTGATTGGACACAGCTGATCACATGAGAGAACCAAAGTCATAGGCTTTCCACTGACCGGTGATCCGCTGTGTCCCAGGGACACAGCGCGCCACTGATCGTCGCACTGCGCGCCCCCGGGGGCGCACACACGTGGTTAGAGTGAGAGGACGTCATATGATGTCCTCCCAGAACATCGCCCATCATTTCATTATATGGCGGGGGCGGGAGGCAGTTAAGAGAATTTTAAGAGAATCTGACAGCTGTGTAAACATTTTTGAATGTTCTGCTTTGTTCTCCTGTGGTTTTAGGGCCAGTTCACACCAGAACATGGCGAGGGAGATCTGCGTTCCATGCCAGTTTCAAAACACACTGCAGTTGCAATCAGCAGCGGGTGTCAATGGTAGCTTAATGACAACCCAAACGCAGTTCGCAAACACAGTGCGTTTCCATGCACCAGATCACATGGTACATTAATACCGTGTGATCTGGTTCCTGTGCATCTTATATAGTAGCGCATACAGTACTTTTGGTGAAATCTGGACCGATTTCAGTCTATTCAAATGGGCTGAAATCACAATGAACCCAGATTGCATGTAAATCGCTTAAGAACACACAGCGCACTCCTGTCCAATTTATGGTGTGAACTGGCCCTTATGTTGTTTCCAAGGGCTCTGACAGAGTGAAGCACTCTTAGAAGGGGACTGAATCTGGGAGGGCCTTAGCCCCAAAGTCAGTGAAGCCAAGCCATTAAAGCAGAACTCTACCCAAAAAAAATAATAAATAAATGCAGGCTTTTAGTGCAGAAGAGACATGCTGCCTCCAGCCATCCAGGGGAATACGTCTCATCCATAGGAATGAATAGGGCGGTAGGATGCCTGAGCAGTAGGAAGAGGACCCTGTGGTCGAACGCTTTCTTTCCAAAGGCTGGGCAGGGTCATGCAGCAAACATCACTGGAATAGGGAGGTATACTACCAGGCAAACTGTACTGGGATGGGGAGTGGAATTAAGGACAACTGTACTAAAAGTACAGTTCTTTCCAAACAGTCAACAAAGCTTCGGTCTGCTTGTGGACAGGAAATTGTCATTGTCTCTATGGTTTCTTTGCTGAACATGTGATGGCTATGAGGTTAAATATTTGTGCCCCATTGTAGTGGGTCTCCTGTGACATCAAACATCCCAAGTGCACTGACCGTATTCAGTCAGAATTGCCTTAGTTTAATTATCCTGTAACTAAAGATCTATATTAAAAAAGTGAAGCATTGCCATCTTGGATGGAATATGCTGAAAGGCTGAATTTGTAAGTAGTACCCTGTAAAATCTACCTTTTTTCCTGAATTCTTTTTGAAAAAGAGCATATGACATTGCCTATGTTCTCTTGCCTCAAAGCTGAATGTCAGCAGTGTGAGATCATCTAAGGCAGAGATCTCCGAACTTTCTACACAAAGGGACAGTTTACTAGTTTTCAGACTCTGGGGAAAGCCAAACTGTGGCCAGTAGGAGCAGAAAATGCTGCAGAGTCAGTAGGAATAAAACAATGCCTGTTGATCAGCAAGTTAAAAAATTACATAGTGCCTGTGATCAGTAGAAGGAGAAATATTGCCCCATCACTGGTAATAGAGGGAGGAATAACTGCTTATTATTGGTATTTGTGGGGGAAATAGTGCCCCATCAATGTTATCAGTGGAGGGAAGTGTGCCCCGTCGCTGGTGACAGTGGAAGGAATAGCGCCCCGTCGCTGGTGACAGTGGAAGGAATAGCGCCCCGTCGCTGGTGACAGTGGAAGGAATAGCGCCCCGTCGCTGGTGACAGTGGAAGGAATAGCGCCCCGTCGCTGGTGACAGTGGAAGGAATAGCGCCCCGTCGCTGGTGACAGTGGAAGGAATAGCGCCCCGTCGCTGGTGACAGTGGAAGGAATAGCGCCCCGTCGCTGGTGACAGTGGAAGGAATAGCGCCCCGTCGCTGGTGACAGTGGAAGGAATAGCGCCCCGTCGCTGGTGACAGTGGAAGGAATAGCGCCCCGTCGCTGGTGACAGTGGAAGGAATAGCGCCCCGTCGCTGGTGACAGTGGAAGGAATAGCGCCCCGTCGCTGGTGACAGTGGAAGGAATAGCGCCCCGTCGCTGGTGACAGTGGAAGGAATAGCGCCCCGTCGCTGGTGACAGTGGAAGGAATAGCGCCCCCGTCGTTGGTGACAGTGGAAGGAATAGCGCCCCGTCGTTGGTGACAGTGGAAGGAATAGCGCCCCGTCGTTGGTGACAGTGGAAGGAATAGCGCCCCGTCGTTGGTGACAGTGGAAGGAATAGCGCCCCGTCGTTGGTGACAGTGGAAGGAATAGCGCCCCGTCGTTGGTGACAGTGGAAGGAATAGCGCCCCGTCGTTGGTGACAGTGGAAGGAATAGCGCCCCGTCGTTGGTGACAGTGGAAGGAATAGCGCCCCGTCGTTGGTGACAGTGGAAGGAATAGCGCCCCGTCGTTGGTGACAGTGGAAGGAATAGCGCCCCGTCGTTGGTGACAGTGGAAGGAATAGCGCCCCGTCGTTGGTGACAGTGGAAGGAATAGCGCCCCGTCGTTGGTGACAGTGGAAGGAATAGCGCCCCGTCGTTGGTGACAGTGGAAGGAATAGCGCCCCATCGCCGGTGACAGTGGAAGGAATAGCGCCCCATCGCCGGTGACAGTGGAAGGAATAGCGCCCCAACGCCGGTGACAGTGGAAGGAATAGCGCCCCATTGCCGGTGACAGTGGAAGGAATAGCGCCCTATTGCTGGTGACAGTGGAAGGAATAGCGCCCCATTGCTGGTGACAGTGGAAGGAATAGCGCCCCATTGCTGGTGACAGTGGAAGGAATAGCGCCCCATTGCTGGTGACAGTGGAAGGAATAGCGCCCCATTGCTGGTGACAGTGGAAGGAATAGCGCCCCATTGCTGGTGACAGTGGAATAGTGAAGGAATAGTGCCCTGTTATTTTTATAAGTTGGAGCAATAGTGCCCCATCATTGTTATCAGTGGGAGAAATAATGGCATAATTATTGGTGTCAGTGGGAGTAATAGGGTTTTATGATTTAAATCCGTGGGAAGAATTATACCCCAATGTTGGTGTCACTGAAAGGAATGGGGCTTCATTATTGGTGTAAGTGTGAGAAATAGTGCCCCATCATTGTTATCCGTGAGAGGAATAGGGTTTCATCATTTATATCCATGAAAAGAATTATCCCCCAATGTTGGCGTCATTGAAAGGAGTGGTGTCTCATTATTGGTGGCGGTGGAAGGAATAGTGCCTAGTATCAGTGCAAGAAATAGTGTCCAAAGGGTCAGATAAAAGCAAAGGGCAACATCCAGCCTGCAGTTTGGAGACCACCAATTTAAGACATGGTCCACTCATTCCTGCCTCTGATGAATTCTATTCTCATGAGAATTAATGTGGATTTCCTGAGGCTGCTGCTATGCTGCACATTCTTCTGAGGCGCTTTCTGGAGAGTAAGCTGTACCAGAGGCCCTATAGTGAAAGAATTCCTTGCCTTATCCATTCTGTGGATCTCTGCTTCCTCCGCCTCTCCTGCTGTGACTAAGGTTTGAAGATCTGACATGAGGAAAGAAAGCCCCCCCAACTCCTTTTCTAAGATGGCCTGTGGAAAAGATCAGCTGCAAGCAGCCTACAAAGAAATACCAGTGACTAGTCTGCTGTCTTGTGCTTTTATTTTTTAGCATAGCTAACAACGTATAGTACATCCTCAGTTACACTTTTTGTAGTATTCAGAGCAATTTCACAACTCTTGTGTATCAACTCATGGGATTATTGTTGTGGGATTGGTCACATATGCTCTGTACATCTGCACAGATCTGCCGGAAAGTCAGTACTCCAAGATCTTCTGGCAAAAAGGACAAGTGGCCAAGTCCTTAACCCCTCACCTACGGCACTTATACCCCCTTCCTGCCCAGGCCAATTTCCAGCTTTCAGCGCTGTTGCACTTTGAATGACAATTGCGCAGTCATGCAATACTGTACCTATATGAAAGTTTTATCATTTTTTTTGGGACAGAGCTTTATTTTGTGGTATTTAATCACATCTGGGTTTTTAAATTTTTTCTCAAACAAACCAAAAACCACAGAAAAGTTTGAAAAAAAAAGTTTTTTTCTTAGTTTTTGTTATAATATTTTGTAAATAAGTGATTTTTCTCCTTCAATAATGTACGCTAATGAGGCTGCACTGATGGGCATTGATAGGTGGCACTGGTAGGTGGCATTGACAGGCATCACTGAAAGGCAGCACTCATATATAGCACTGATGTACACTGATAGGCGGCACTGACAGGCATTGATAGGTGGCACTGACAGGTAGCACTGAAAGGCAGCTCAGATGGGCACTTATATGTGGCATTGATGTGGCACTGATGAGCACTGAGAGCTGGCACTGATAGGCACTGGCAGGTGGCATGGATGAGCACTGATAGGTGGCACTGCTGGGGCTACACTGATCATCAGTGCCCTGATGATCAGTGTAGATGTCCCCTCCGAGGAATGCCGATTACCGGCTCTCCTCTCCTCTGTCAGCGTGACAGCTCGTGGGGAGAGAAATGCAGATAACCAGCATGCCCTGTTTACATGTGATCAGCTGTGATTGGACACAGCTGATCACATGACCGAGACGACATCTTCGGCTCTTTCCATGGACCGGTGATCCACTGTGTCCGAGGGACACAGCGCACCTCTGATCGCCGCGCGGTTAGAATGGAAGGATGTCATAGGACGTCCTCCCAGAACGAGAGAACCACCTTGCGTCTGTCATATTACTATATGGTGGGCGGGAGGTGGTTAACATTGGTTCCACATCAGGGTCCCAGAAGGGAAGATGTCAAAGGATATCCAGTTATTCCAGGAAATCATGCAAGCTGAGTACAGTTAAAGTGTTAATAAACCCACACAACAGTAAAAATCAGTCTATATATGCAGTAAAACATGCTTGTTATACTCACTGTGGAACCTAAGGGGTTAATCCACCATATTGTGTAAAAAAAGCTGGTTGATCCTGTCTTCTCTGATTCTCCCCTTCTTTTACTGTCTCCAATCTATCTGCCATAGTACAGAGCAGCAGTGGCAAGTCTGCACATGCTCTGTTTGGTGTGTATTGCAAAAAAAAAAATAAAAAATTTCTTTTTTGAGAGGGTACATGTGATCGGCACAGGGCCAATTAACGCTGTCTGGACAGAAGGTTAGGGGTCATGCAGTCTCATAGGACAGTCAAAGGAGAATGAAATCAGTGATGAATCAGTGCTCGGCTGGATATCAAATACAAGATGAATCAGTGCTTGACTGGACATCAATTGAAGTTCCAAGACTACTATATACTGCTGACAAGAAAAGGTATTTAGCAGTTTATATCTACTAAAATAATTGCATTTCCAGGTTCTGTGTACTGTAGGAGACCAGATATAGTGAATGCAGGGTCCAGGGAGACCAGATATAGTGAATGCAGGGTCCTGGGTTTAGTAACACTTGAAATATTATGACGACAATATACCGTATTTTTCGCTCCATAAGACGCACTTTTTTTCCCCCTACAAAATGGGGGAAAATTTCTGAGCGAATATGGAGCGGCTGGCCCGGAATTCTGTGTTAGAATACCAGGCCGGCCGCTCGGCTCTTCTGTGCTCATCGGTCCTACCTGTTCCTTGGTCCAGCGCTGTCCTCGCAGTCTTCTCTCCCTGGCGCCAGCATCTTTAGTGTGGGCACCTGGCTGTGACAGCTTGCGACTTCACAGCCGGGTGCCCACTGCGCATGCACGTGAAGCGCTGCGCTTTGTGAATGGTCTGGCAGTCTTCTGGGACCTGTCACGTGTCCCAGAAGATGGGGAGGGAGGACAATGCCACGGAAGTGGGAGCGGGTACCTGTCAAATTCGGGTACCACTCCCCCCCTCCTCTGCTCCCCAAAGGTCCGCAGTCTCTGGTCATCCCCTGTACTATATGTCCGCAGTCTCTGGTCATCCCCTGTACTATATGTCCGCAGTCTCTGGTCATCCCCTGTACTATATGTCCTCAGTCTCTGGTCATCCCCTGTACTATATGTCCGCAGTCTCTGGTCATCCCCTGTACTATATGTCCGCAGTCTCTGGTCATCCCCTGTACTATATGTCCGCAGTCTCTGGTCATCTCCTGTACTATGTGCCCGCAGTCTCTGGTCATCTCCTGTACTGTGTCCGCAGTCTCTGGTCATCTCCTGTACTGTGTCCGCAGTCTCTGGTCATCTCCTGTACTATATGTCCGCAGTCTCTGGTCATCCCCTGTACTATATGTCCGCAGTCTCTGGTCATCCCCTGTACTGTGTCTGCAGTCTCTGGTCATCTCCTGTACTGTGTCCGCAGTCTCTGGTCATCCCCTGGACTAACTCCCTGGTCTCCTCCTCCCACGCCCGACTGCAGGACTTCCCCCATCCTCTGGAACGCTCTACCCCAATCCATCAGACTGTCACCTACCCTCCTCACCTTCAGGCACACCCTGAAAACCCATATCTTCAGGGAAGCCTACCCCGCCCTCACCTAACAGCCGATCTCCTCCACTCCATCCCCCACAGCCACTTCCTCCTGTACCACTATCCCCTCCCTCCTAGATTGTAAGCTCGAAAGAGCAGGGCCCTCGAACCCCTCGTGTATTGTATTGTTACTGTATTGTCTCATGTACTGTCCCCCACTATAATGTACAGCGTTGAGCAAACCTTTTGCCGCTATATAAATCCTGTATTATAATAATAATAATAATAATAATATGTCCGCAGTCCATATTTTTTTCCTTGTTTTCCTCCTCTAAAACCTAAGTGTGTCTTATAGAGCGAAAAATACGGTAAGTCTTTTTTAATGGAAAATTGCCTACCACACAATAGTATTGATATGGTCACATCTGGACACAAATTCTCACCTTTGCACAGATACTAGCAGCACTAACTACAGGAAACAAAGAATCAGCTTTGGGCTTCACAGTCACGTCCAGCCCAGGGAACCGCTGCTTTAGCTTCTCTTGATACTTCTCAGCAGGACCCACAGTATCCACAAATATCTGCAACGACCAACAATACACAAACAGAAGATGGGAATAGTACATCAGATGAGATTCAAAAGTCCCAACACAGCTGATTTTTTTTTTTTCAAATATGCAGTACATGTGACCAGCATAATGTAACACCTATAACTAATGTTAAAACAACACCAGGAAAATAAAAACACCAAATGATGCAAGTGTTCATTACATAGAAAAGGCATCTCTTCTGGTGCAGGTAAGGTAAGTACGCAAGCCTACTTTTGTATAAACCGCCTGTAATCTCCTGTACAGCAGATCCCCCATAAAAGGCAGGAAAACAAGTACTAGAAGCCAATTGTGTATCCCTGCAATGTACAAATCACAAAAGGAATAAAGAGCACAGGGATGACTTTATCATTATCCTTTGTGTCTAATGGATTGCCTCAAGTTCAGATTTAACATTTCACACCTCTTGGATTTGTATACAAAATGTATACATTACAATCAGGGTGGATAAAAATCAATGATTTTAAAAAAAAAAAAAAAAAAAAAAAAAAAAAAAATCGGATTTTTTTTATTTAAATCAGATTTTTTTTTTAATAAAATGCTTTTTGAGGAAAATATATTACCATCCAAGGGTTATTCCATCATGAAATAAAGATTAGTTTTTTAATTATGTAGAATAAGGCTGTATAGGTTTAATGTTTTTGGTAAATAAATTCCATGAATCCATTCACAATGTCATGCTCTTCCAGAGGTTTTTGTAAGATTATTGGGCAGTTTCTCTGCCTACAAGATATTATCACAGATGATTGGTTTACTTTTGCAGTTCTCAAAACTGAATTTGACTCAGCGGAGATCACATGCCTCTTCTTCACAGCAAAAATGTTATAACATGAACAGAGTTAAGAAAAAGACCTTCATCCTAACTTCTACAAACCTATGAATACAGAATCAACCCCTTCAGTGCTAAGTTTCAAGAAGTTCAGTGAATAGAATAGAAACAATATTTTTCTGATTGTTTGGAGTGGAATAGATCTGCACAAGAAGAAAGTGACACTAAGTGTGAGGAGGAAGGGGCTGACAGTCTAAGTTTCTTAATATATATATATTTTGTTTAGCCAAATTAGTTAACAAACATGGATGTTTAAGCCAATCACATATGCTGGAATGTTATTGTTTCAGTTGAATAAATCTATTTAAATTGTTATTATTAAGGTAATGATTATTTTTCTCCTTCCTAAGTACAACAGAAAAGTTGTCCAAATATGAATGATTAACCTATTAAACTGGGGATAAAAAAACTAATATGAAAAGTTGGTATTCTAAAAATCTTCATCTACTTGCATATTAAAGTTATACCAGCAAGAATTAGTCTTTATGTAGAAAACTAGGATTTACATCAAGCCTTACTGACTAGTGATTTAAATCGTGATTTAAATCATGATTTAAATCAGTTTGATTTAAATCAAATCCACCCTGATTACAATGCAGCCACACATGTTCATTTTATATTCACTTTGTGCATCAGTAGTGTCAGGCTGGCAGCACTGCTTCTAATTATGGGGAAGTGGCTGACAATTATCATCCTCCAAGTAGACACCACTGCATCACCCATTTCACAAAGCCTACCTACTGAACTACAGAAGTGTTGAAAGGAGGAGTTTCAGGAGGCGGGGTCAGTACAGGAAGCAGTGATTGCATTGCAGGCAACAAGGTACTATGGGATATGTAGTCCTTAGAAACGGAGGACAAGCTGCAAAGCATGCAGGGGAATCCAGGAAGGAGGCCATCAGACTGGCAATACTCACAACATGAAAGGAGGTTTTTCAACTAATGTGGCTATAAGGCCTAACCATTCTCTACCCTAACGCATTCCTTGCATTAAGGTAAAAAAAAATGTTTAGGCATCAGTAAATTTGCTATTTATGTAGATGCACAAAAATTTATCCGTAAACTCAATATTAAAAAGTATTTTTTAAACTTACCAGGAGCTAAGAGCAGCATAGCGAATTGTGCTAGCAGTAATTTTTTACATAGTCATTTTTCAAATAAATCGCTTTTTAATCCGCAGGTACAAATAATGACCACATTGAAGTTTTTAAACAGATGGTCACTAAAGATTTGGACAATTTGAAAATCCCCAAATGCATAAATAATATAGGCATTCAAACAGGGATTAATAGACTTACTAAGAGAGACAATATAGTCATCAGGCCTGCTGATAAGGGAGGGGGCATAGTGGTGTTATCCAAAGAATATTATTTACAAGAATTAGCTCAACAGTTGGCAGATGATACCACTTATAAAGTTATGTCTAAAGACCCCACGTTGTCATATAAGAAACAATTGGTCAAACTTGTAACAAAAGGGGAAAATAAAAAAATCTTGAACAAAAAGGAAACCAAATATCTGATACCTGAAACTTGCCGTATTCCAGTGATATACACTGTACCGAAAATACACAAGAATGTGAAGGATCCACCAGGTAGACCAATAGTGAACGGTATCCAATCCGTTCTATCAAGACTTGGTCAATATGTGGATTTCTATCTACAGCCAGTAGTTAAAAGAACTAAGCGTACCTACGGGATACGAAACATTTAATTCAAATATTAGAAAAAATTGAGGGTCATCCAGAAATAATTTTAGCAAGTGCAGACGTAACTTCGCTGTACACCATTATTGACCATGATGGAGCAATGGATGCAGTGAAGTGGGGACTTGAAAAGTATAGTGATATCCAACGAGTTCAAAGGAAATTTACATTGGAGTGTCTAGAGTTTTGTCTTTTACATAATTACTTCTGGCACAATCATACCTTTTTCCAGCAGATTAGGGGTGTTGCGATGGGGGCAAGGTTTGCCCCCAGTGTTGCCAACCTGTATATGGCCCACTGGGAGGAGGAAGCCATCTATAAACAAACCCCATGTGAACTTATCTCATATTATCGATATATTGATGATGTTATCATCATTTGGAAGGGAAGTAGACAACTGTTGATTAATTTTCTGAATGGATTAAATAATAATACGAAAAATATTAAATTTTCCTGGACCTTTGATAATGAGAGGATTAATTTTTTGGATCTTAACATTATGAATCAACAAGGGAAAATTTACACAAATACTTATTTTAAAGAAGTGGATCGTAATGGATTCATACCATCAGACAGTTGCCATTACCGCCCATGGCTCTATAATATACCAAAGGGCCAGCTAGTGAGGTTGAGAAGGAATTGCTCTGATAAGGAAGAGTACAAGAAACAAGCAAAGACTTTAGGAGATAAGTTTATCAAAAAAGGCTACCCTGAGAAAGAAATAGAGAAGAGAATAATTGAAGTTCAAAATATGGAGAGGGAGTCACTGATTGTAGACAAAAATAAAAAGGAGAACTTTGAGAGTCAAATGGCAATTATTCTAGACTACAATGTCCATTATAAAAAAATCGAGAAAATATTCTCTAAACATTGGTCTATTCTTAAAACGGACCCTGATCTAAATAAGATTTTGGGAGATAATCCAAAATTTATATATAGGAAGGCCCCTTCCCTGAGGACGAAACTAGTTAAAAATGTACTGATCCACCAGTCAAAAAGAAGAGCATTACATTTCTTGACCAAGTAGGTTTTTTTCCGTGCCGAAAATGTTACGCATGCAGAGCAACCAAAGGAAAAAACGGCAAATGTAACACTTTCAAGGCCAACTATGATGGCACAATATATAAGATCAAAGATTTCATTTCATGCCATACAGAGGGAGTAGTTTATGGCCTTGAATGTGCATGTGGTTATCAGTATATAGGAAGAACTAAAAGGCCTATGTGGAAACGCATGAGGGAACATGTACAAAACATAAAAAAGGGGTTCCCTAAACATAGCGTTTCCCGGCACTTTTTTAAAACAGCATAATAAAGACCCTTCAGGACTCAAATTTTGGGGTATACAGAAGTATGTGAGTCATTGGAGGGGGAGTAATAAGATTAAATCCCTTAGTCAGGCAGAGTCGAGATGGATGTATACCATGCATACACAGGCACCGCATGGCCTTAATATTGAGTTTGATCTCAACTGTTTTATTAGCGATTTTTAAATTTGAATTTTAAATGTTAGAAAATTGATCTGGTAACAGCAATTTACATATAAAATATCTCTGGTAATATTAACTTACATATTATATTTTTTAATTCTGTTAATATAACGAATGTATTTTTGTAAACCCAAGCTATTGGTATTTGTGCATGCCACTTTATTTATTTTTATTTTTAATTGTTCTTTTAAATCGGTATTTAATGAGCTCTTTGAGCATTCATTCGAATTAATTTACAATGGTCGTGTATATATTTTTTTTTTTTTTTTTTTTTTTTTTTTTTTTTACTTTTTTTTTTTATTTTATTTTTATTTTTATTTATTTTTTATATTTTTATTTATTTTTTTTTTTTTTTTTTACGCATGAGGGAACATTTATTTTTTTTTTTTTTTTTTTTTTTTTTTTTTTTTTTTTATTTATTTTTTTTTTTTTTTTTTTATATTTTTTTTTTTTTTTTTTTTTTTTTTTTTTGTTTTATATATCTACTTAATAAGGAAGCCCACTAAGATTAATGGTTTTAATATTTATGATTAATAAAGTTTATGATTTGGTGTTATTGCACCATTAAAGATGTAGATGTGGTTCATATAGGCTTAAATATATAATTTGTTTACTCCTATATGTGTATATCTTGAATATGACATATGGAGATTTATATCTGGTATCCAGCACTAGAATTCGTATATGGGATAGATTCATGTATGTGAGAGCAGGACTCTAATAAGATGTCCGCCGTATGCCTGCTCTCACAATGGAATCCAATTAGGTTTTTTTTTTTTTTTTTTTTTTTTTTTTTTTCTCTATAAATACCATTGAGTCACCAGGGGGCGGTAACCCTGATGAAGTCACGACGCACGTGACGACGCTACGCGTCGGTTTGTCTACTTCCTGGTGACGTATGTCCAGGGACACAGTGGCCATATTGGATTCCCCCAGGTGCATGCATATCTACCCACAGGCTGTCTTTTTATGAGTTGCATAAGAGAGAGGAGATATAAGGGCTGCCAGAGGAATACACCACTGAGGTGGTAACTGCTTTGAGGCCCTGTGTGGGTAATTTAGACACCATTGCTGCCATTTGAAGGAGAGTACTTGCACTTAATGGAGATCACGTGTGTGTTCCAGCTTAAAGCACAGTCACATGCATGGAATATTTTTTTCACCTTTGATATTGTCTTTCTATGCATATTCATTTATATTTTTTCACGTTATATATTCTGTTCATTATATTTTGATTTATATATTTAGTTTCCTAATGTGTGTTATTTAGCTATTTTGGTTGACACTATTTTTTCTTTTCACTAGAGGGAGTCAACACACATTTATTATATATAGTGGTCACTTTGATTTATAATTACACTATATGGAGATACATGATTGTATTCATGTGATACAAGCGCTTCACTAATTTTTAATTTTATTTTGCACTTATGCAGCTGCTCTTTACACATCGGAAATATGTGTTTTCTGATGGTCTTAGGGGACCCCTGTGAAAGGGTCGTTCGACCCCCAAAGGGGTCGCGACCCACAGGTTGAGAACCACTGATCTAGAAGGAAAATGTATGCAGTGAGCACAGATCATCTATAACATAGCAAAATAAGTTATTTTGTCCACCTTCTGTAGTTCGCCTTTATATAAATCAGTCATAAATGTTTTTTTTTGCATAAAATACATACGAAGGCGTTCATACTTGTCATTCACTTGTTCCGAATATTAACTACACCATCTCCAAGTTCACAGAACTGTTTTTCCTCACCACCAGTTATACATACCTCAGTCACCTGTACCCCATTATCCAGGGCATGTTGAACGAGACCTATGGCTGTGTCATGGGACAAGGCATTCAGATTGTATTTTGCCCTGGAAGTAAAAGAACAAGGGTAAAATAACTGTAGCAGCAAAATTAAGGGTTAAAGTTTGATAACAGCCCCATGCACTAAATTTAAAGTGTTCCCAAGTGTATGCTACCTAGTAGCGCAGATTGCAGTGAAGTACAACAGATCACAATCTATTTAAACCCTTAGCCCTGGTTCACATCTATGCGGCCGTGTGGACCGCGTTTTGCACAGGCACGAGAGCCCATTCATTTGAATGGACTCCCGTGCCCCGTAGGGAAGAAGTCCCTGCACTTCTTCCGAAAACGCAACACGCACGGGAACCTCGCTTCCCAGTACGGTTGCGTTTTTCAGTGCGGGCGGCAAGCCGTTAGAACTAATGGCACCCCACATTTCTCTTTGCGGGTGCACGGATTTTCGTGCGGATCCGCAGCGGTATCACCCGCACAGATGTGAACCTAACCTTAATGCCTGAAGGGAAAACAAATCTTAATGCCTCAACACGGTTTTGCAACTTTGGCATATGTTTGCAAATATGTACATATCACAACTAAAAGTGTACCCACCGTTTTTTCAGGATGAATTGGGTCTTTGTTTTGGTGGTTAACTAGTTATGCATATCTTCTGGTTATTTTTAGAGGGGGTGGGGGGTTGTGTTTTTGTTTTTTGCTATATTGAGCCAGGTTTACTTTGATTTAAAAAAAAAAAAAAAAATTTAAATTAAAAAAATTTAGCTGTACATTTCTTTCCCCTACCATGACCCCGCTACCAAAGCAAATCAAATTCTGCTGCTCCTCATGTTTGCAATGATACGTATATATTTGTTTTCTGTACTCAAAGTAGGGTCACGAAATACTAACCATGACCTTTGTTTGTTCTGGTCCCCAACCCATACCAAGCCACTTTTTTTCGTTTTTTTTTTTTTTTTTTTTTTTAAACACACAGACTGTTTTTTGTTTACATTCTTCTCCTTTGGCTAGGAGAAAAAAATACATTGAGGCTAGGCTCACAACTGTGTGTGTTTCCCACCCCATGTTCAAAATGAACTGCAGCTGCGATCTGCAACAGGTGTCAAAGTTAAGTTAACCCCTTGGCGCCGGCGCCACCTGGCCCTTTAAGGGTTTCAGAAGCCGGGAGTTTAAGGTCATGTGACCGCCATGATTCGCCGTCACATGA